TCCCTGAATCATTCACATAAATCAATTCCAAGAACCATCTTTTGGGGTGGTTCTAACGTAGCCTTACCTAGTCTTGGTACAGAAATCCTGTAGTCATAGTCTGCCCAATTGATAGAAAAAAAGCTCACAAAACTAACATCCAATAGACAGAAAAGGAAATTTTATCTTCTGTATCAAGATTAGCATCCATTAGTAGCGAGAAAGACAGAAGAATATTCTACAGAGCTATTTTCTATTCCACACACATACACAAAAAAAAAAAAATCGGAAACCAAGGACACCAGTGGAGATGAAATGCTGTGTGGGAAACCAGTCCCCTTCCTTGAGGAGGACACACCCATAGGCGACACAGGAAAACTGTTGCCCATGTCCTGTGTAAACATGCCCAGCTCGCTTCTCGTCTTTCTGCACTTTTCAAGATTACAATTGGAATACAAAGACTCACTTATCAGGTTTTAATTTCACTCAGTTACTTAATCAGCAAGAATATAAATCAGTCCTTAGGTGGAGAATACTTTGGGGGAAATGAATACAGCAAGGAGTTATGTTTATTTTGCTGATTTTCTTCATAGCCATTCTCTCTTCTCTTGTCACATCTCTACCTCATACGTTTCTACATATAAAGCAAACCCACATTTCCTTTTTACGGTTTAATCTAATCTTTGATGTAGCTGTAGGCTTAACACTGAGGAATAATTACAAAAGAAACATTATACTTTTTATGAAATATTAAACTTACAATCTATCTTTTAATATCTGCTTCAAAGACTATTTGACAGGAATAAATGAATGAGAGCTTCTTGGCAAGAGAAGCTGTGATTTATGAAATATTTTATTCATTCATATTCTTAAGTATTTTCTTGAGAATACTGCTAACATCTGGAGCTACGCAGTCTTATCCAAACATTCTGCTCATACTCAATTAGAAAATTATATCAATAATAATGTAAAACAAATTACCTAGCCTCTTTTCCTGGAGCATAGATTTCAATGTTTGTCAGAGCAACTATGTGTACAAACAGCACTGTAGTGTTTTTCATTAAGCCTTGAAGTCAATTAAGCTACGAATTGGAAGAATCATTCCTCCTTTGCAAAGTATTGATATTTTTCCTTGGCTGCTTTCAGGCCTTTTCACTACTCAAGGAGAGATTTATGTTTGACAATTTCTTTCTGATTAAAATGAATCATAACTCTAGAATTCTAATTTCCTCTTTGCCGAACAAGAAATTATCAGTTTTAAATTGATATTGAATGTCATTGTGCATGAACATTCTTTTTTGAGATATCAAACGTAAAGCTATACTGATTTCTCTTTTTATCTGCCTTTTTACACACTTTCTCTTCCTTTCTCTCTCTATGTATATATGTAGAAAACATTACATTGTACCAGTATAATCAACTATACCTCTCTATAAAAGTTGTATTTTTCAGACTGGCTAGACCAGTCCCATTAAAACTTGTCACAATGCTTTATGTAAGGCAATTACCCTCTATTTGCAATATTAGCGAAATTCTGCTGTAGTTTAGAAAGAATATAACTGGAATATTGCAGGTTGCAAACAAACGTCAGTTAGCTAAACTAATTAGCAAGTTTGTATGGGTAATCCCTACTCAAATGGCTCAAACTCTCTATAAAACAGCTCTTCAGACATAAATTGTTAAAAACAAAGTTTTCTAGATTTGTCTCCAACAGCCAATTAAGATCAGTTTTAATTTGGTTTTTAAACATAATGGCAGCTAATGTGAAAAATCTTATTTTCTCCCATTAGTCTTCCTGTTTTCTCTAAATCTTAAGAATTGGATCTTTCCAAGCCATTTAGTTGTCCCATTTTCTCTTTATAAACTTGATTTTCAGCTTTCACTAAAAGCAGATTAAAAGTGGGGTTTTTGACCAACAATTTATTTAAAAGAACACAGGCCCAAAGCAGAGCTGCCTTTCTGCAGACACTCAGTTTATGGCATTCCAGAGAAGGATGTCACAGACTCACTAGGGGAACATGCTGGCTGGTTTCCCTGAGCACTGTTGCATATGCTGTACTTTATTTTGAATTGCTGCACTACAGTAGCTTTGATTTTGGTTTTGTTTTGTTGCGGTTTGGTGGTGGTGGCTGGAGGCCGTTTTAAGAAATTTCTTCTTTTTCCATATGTATTTCAGGCTTTAGTCTATACAGACCATCAATTAGATGAATGTAGCAAAACTTGAAATAATAACAGTTGTTTCTTTATACATTTAATTATTTTGTCTTCTTGAAAAATAAGCAGAACTCTCTTTTGCATCAGACAACAAAAAGAATGAAAAAGGAAATATTCTTCGTCCAACCGTTAAACCTTGCGTACTAAAAGCATACCATCCCACAGAAAAGCCAGCATAGGATACACATTGCTTTGGGTAATATACATGCTATTATGGAAATACCAAGGTTTTTACCAACGCAGTACACTTACAACATGTAAATACACTAGAATTCAATATAGCAAAGATTTTGTTAGTTATGAAAGCATAGATCATGCAAATTAGAAGAAAATGTGGTTTGGACATTCAGTTTAAGAGTAAGAAAGTATTTATCAAATTTCCACCTCTCAAAATATTGGAGGAAGACAATATTGATAGTGCAGCTAGGAGATTTAATCTCAAAAATTTACAAGAAAACGTGAAACCAGTAGGCAGCACTATTGTTGCCAACAATACCATGAACATGAGGCTTTGTAAGGTTGCATCCTAAACAGCTGTATTTTTTTCAAAAATTGGTTCCGAATTGAAAAATAAAACAATTTCCTTTCAACAATTTTGCTTTCTCTAGGAACAAGGGACACAAAATACTGTGGATGCTTTGAAGCTCTTCACAGCAGGATAGTTCCAACTATGTATTGAGAATTCATCTGAACTATTTGCAGAGGTTGTTGACATTTCTGTTAAACTCTTTCATTTTATAGAATAATTTTCTATTAACAACTTCCTATCCCATAGCTACACCTACAAGCTAAAAATTAATATTTTACATAAATATTTTAAAATTAGTATCAATCAATCAAATTAATCTTTAGCTCTTTGTTTTCAGTAACTGACTTTGGGGCAGGTTTTTGTGTTTGTTTTCCTCAAGATTGCTTACAATTTGATGTAAATTTTAAGCATCTTGTAATTCATCAACTAATTCTCTCCTGGTTACACACTCCAAGTAATTAAAGTTCAGTAATAACTTATTCTTTCTGCTCCAGCACCTGCATTTCATTTGTTTATTTTCCCAGAGTCATAAATCTGAGGGACTGTCAACGTGCCATAATATTAGTGCAATAATCAAAGTTAATTAGTCCCTCTCAATAAACAACAACAAAGCCATTACAAAGATGCATTGAAGGTTTTCCAGCTACCTAGTTTACAGATGAGATTCTTTTCTGAACAATTAGAATTTGAAAACTTAGTAGATAAGTGTAGTGCTTCTGAAGTAATTTGATCTTTAGTAATTTTCATTCAATTAACAATTCATTAACTTTCGGTGAGATAATATAGGTATTAAGACAAGTACTCCTGAAGCCCCATTGCCTTCAAAGTGCTCAGAGATATGTTTAGAATTAAGGGGGTAACGGGATATTTTTAAAATAAAAGGTACTCAGTACTGCCTTATTTTAGTTACATAAAAAACATATATAACCATATTTAGCTGGACTGGGACTACAAAATCCAAGAGAGAGAATATCACCAAATCCCCAAATCCAGTTCTATTGAACTTTAAGCAGTGCACACTATGCTTTTGCCCCTGTTGGAACTCTCTTGGAATTACATGCCACTGAAATTTTAAAAAGAGCTTTAACGTGAAGTATTTATGGCGAACCGAAGATATTTTTCCTTCCCAATCCTTTACTGTAAATCATTAATATCATGTGGGCAAGAGAAAAAGACCTAAAGCCAAAGACTGTTTCTTGAAGAAACTTGTGGTTATAAAAATTAGCAATATTACAAGCATCACTTATATGGAAATACTTGTAAATAAGTACTGTTTGTCTTGCAATAAAAATATTATAATTATCTGTAGACTACTTATGTGTAAATATTAATACTGAGTGCTCTCCCATATCATCTGGGAGCAGTTGAAATATTTTCAGAGCTTGGGGAATAAAGCTAAAACACTCATCACTAATTTCAGCAGAAAAGAAGCAAAATTCCGAGAATCTGATCCTGCGTTTTATTATTAAGTAAAGTGTATAGGACTCTGTTGACAGACTGTCTCCTGGCAGTAAGCAGTCATAGCAAGCTCAGACAAAAGTAGCCTGCAATCTTTACTAGCAAGTAAGTGATTATGGGAGGAATAAATTAAGAACACTGAATAAATTTTAATAAGAGCCTTGGAAGATCCAAAAAAAAAAAAAAAAAGGGAGGGGGGGAAGGTAGGAGTCAAAGAGAAAAAAGGGAACAGATAGTACTGAAGAGCTTGTATTTGCATGACAAAATGGAAGAAAGACAAAAGAAAGAGGGAAAGAAACAGGAAGGAAAAAAGCTGAGACAGACTGCGGTGCTGTTGGGCCTGACAGACTAGAAAAAAAAAAAAAAAAGGAGGGGAACATTATTGGTTTTGAAAAGGGTAAGAATGATCCTCTGAAACCTCTCATAGTATGAAAACCATGGGCAAAATAGTGGTTGTCTCTAATATCCGAGTGTGTTACATTCTCCTTCAGTTAGCTATACAGTTTGGTTCTGGAAATGTCCTGTCCTATGAACCGTGAAACATGCCTCAGCAGTTCTTTCAAACCCCCTCGCCCTTACAAAGCATGTGTGTATAACATGGATCACAGCGCCTTTCGGTCCAATGCGGTCACATGAAATGAGAAATCTCTGTCACTGGTATACCAGTCACTGAACAGGATCCTACAAAAATAAGGCAAATGCCTTCTTCCTTAGATTTTTTCATGGCAATGCAATATCTGTTAAACCGCTGGTACTGCACAAAAGACTTCACATCTTGAAAAACACAGCTTAGTGTCGGACGCTATGTACATTCACTTACCCATTCCACAAGAATGCGCTGGACGGCGTCGTTGCCTCTTGATGCATTTCTGCAGGCCAGGATAACATATGCCCCATGCAGTGCAAGAGACTTTGCAGTTTCAAAACCTATGGTGAAACATTTTCTTAGTCAGAAATAGATCTCAATAACAGTTTTTAATTTACCTGAAAATGTGAGCCACGCACTAAAGGAGACTAACGCTACCTGCAGACTGACTACTGACTATTTGATAGGCACCTGGACCCAGCTTTTAAGAGCACATATCAAAAAAGGTCGACACCTCAATTTGAGCAAAATCACATGGAGATAACAACTCTTTTTTCCAAACCCAGCACCACCCCATCTGCAGAACACTGCTGCACAAAACCAGGGACCTGAGAACCATCCAGTGTTAAACCACTCCCAGGAGGGGGTTGTCGAGCTCAGTCTTAGAAAAATTAAGGAGATCTGTAATCTACACGTATGTTTTACTTTCCACATGCTTTAAAATCTTTGCTAAAATATTCCTTAAATTAGCTGTGTAAAATCAACTCATTTTTTGTCTCATCATCAACTGATACATGGAGAACAATTTTTCACAACTGCTGTCATTATGAATAATCAATCAAATACCCTGCAGCTTCAATATATTGGTTACAGTATCATGGGGCTGAACAGGTCACTGGATGTACCAGATGACACAGAGAAAAAACAATCCATGAAAAATTCCCACTTTTGCATAACTTGCTGATATGATTTAATCTCCAAGCACATTCTTTCTAAATCTGAAACCAGTGGACAGAGAGTTCACAATTTGCTGCAAGTAAAGTGCAGCATGAATCTATATCCCGAGGATTTTTTCTTTCGTTCATAGAGCAAAGTTTCACAGTGAATTTCTAAATGACTGTACACAAGCTTTTTTTGCAATACTGTTAAACATTTCTTTCCCACTCTGAATTTGGGTACTTCATTCCTCTCTTCCAAAAGGAGACTTCAGATTTCAGATTAATTTCAGTTTGTTAATTTGGGACTGTACTGCAATTTAACGAGATCAGTTCAAATTATGAAACTGTCCACCAAGACCTGCAACTTTTTCCACCTTGACATCATCTGCAAGCTTTGTAAGAATACTCTCTTTCACTGTTCACTTCATTAATGAAAAGCTGCATGGAAGTTGGTCCAAGGCAGACTTTATTTAATTTGAAAAAATCAGTGAGAATTTACACCAGGAGATGATGAGTCCTTGGGACTCATAAAGTGCAGAGAACTGAGCCAGAAATTGGGTTTCTATTGGGGTGAGCTACTAGGTACTTGTGGTGTATTCAATAGCCTCACTGGGTGCCCATCTCCATGGAGAACTGTAACAATGACAGAAATTTCCATCTATCTGAAAGAGGCGTAACAGAGCTTAATGAGTTCCTATTAAACAAGCTTAAACTAGAAACTGAAGAATCAAACTGAAATGTCCACTGATTTGAGCATGTGAAGAAGTCAAAGAAAAGAGGTATTTGTTTTAGCTTTATGACATTTAAAGCATGTTCATGCTTTCCTTTTAAAAATTGTTTACCAAAAAGCCTATTAACATCGGCTGTTTCACTTCCAAAACACCCTGGAGCAACAAAATTCAGTTACAAGACATAACTTACATTACAGAAACAACCCAGATTCATTCGTACCATTCTCTGCAATAACGTATTTATGGTATTAAGTCCAAGAAATTTTCTTGTATCTCTTTTAAAGCCATCCATTGCACCAAGCAACTTTAATTACCTGGGTAATTCATTGCATGCACGTGAATTCAGCTGCAGCATACGCAAAGATTTCCCCTGTTCCTAATTCCACTTTAAGCGTATTTACCTAGAGTTTTCCATGTAAGACATGTTGTACCAGAGAACTATTAGCTAGCTGTATGCTTCTTGTTTTGCACAAAAGACACTTATTTTGAGCAGCTTACTATATTACTAAAAACTAGTTGGAATGCCTGAGAATACAGTTTTCTACATACAAAGATCTAGACCTGGCAGGCAGTTTAATTAACTAAGCGTGATGATGTTTTGTTAACTCTACCTCCTGTCACACTGTGCAAAATAATAAATTCCATGCCATTCTCTGTTACAGTTAATAACTTTATTCTCATTAGAAACTAAAGTGAGAAAGATTAAAATTTAACCAAGTTATATGCTGCAAATTTAGTTAATTTTAATACCACCTTGATTTTTCCCTGCAAACTTGGAGATCAGTGTTAAACTCTCCTCTTCAGGACATACTTGCTCTTTTCTGGGCTACCAAAGGACGATTCTTCACCCTTAGGCAGGCATGTTCTGGATCTTCCCATGAACTTATGTGCTTAAAAAAACTTTTCAGAGGATTTCTAAGCAGCAGTCAATCCTTCCATCCAAAAGATCACCACAGGACAACTAATGATGTGTCTCCCCATCAGACATATTTTGAACTATTAACTAATTCGGGAACACTCTTGCACTGTATTTAGGACAGCTAGATTTATGCAACAGGTGAAAAACAAATCCAGGTCCCCCAAACCACACAAACTGAAGTCAACTACTGAATTACTGGCTATAGGTAGGGATTGTATACAGCTATTACTATTTGATCTTTCTGTCACTTTGTATGGAGCATAATTCAAATATAGTTTCATAAATCAAAGTTAAACCACAAACATCATAAACACACAAACAACAGTAAAACCTCACCAAAAAAAAAAAAAAATCACAGTAGCATTGAAGAGAAAGAGAAATCTAAATAACTATGTTAAGGACATGCATAATTAAGAAACCAGAGCAACCTTAATTCTACCCACAAGAGCAACTCTGTGGACTTCAAAAGAACCAAAGCCACCTTTAAAACGTCACTGAAACTGCAGCCATCAACACGCTCTCTTACAGTGCATGACAGCAATGATACCGGTTTCTCTTCCAGGACACAAATCTTATCCTCCAGTGGTGAATCCTCCCTGTACCACAGTGCTAGGCTATTGCAGCTGCAGAGCTATTCAACCCGGGTAAAAAGGACAGCACAGCCCACGGCCAACAACGGCTCTTGCTGTTTACGTTCTGCCCGGCTGCAGGCTGGCCAAGGGCGCACATGGCTGGAGGAAACTGTGCCCAGCCTCAATGTACTATTGTTCTGTGCTTCACTTTTCAGATTTCAAAGCAGGCAACTCAAAAAAAGCTGCTAAACTTGAATATCTTTTTACAGAAAATCACCCGTTACATACGCGTTGTCGTTTTTTAAAGTAGGAACAACTACGCCAGGAAAACAGCAGAGGATATTGTACTTGTGCATCAAGGACAGCAAATTAAAAAGAGTAAGATAGATACTTTCCCCAGATTCATTCCTACTTTGGAAAAGCAATCATACTGTATTTAAATACTCTATACAATACAATGTTGAGCAAATGTTTCATACAACTGAAATAAATTTCAAGTGATTGCCCTGGAAACGTCAAGAGACAAGACTGTCCTGAGACCAACTCCTCTTGCTGCTGTTGCTCTAGCTGAACGAGCTCTAATCTGACACACAAAAGTGAAAATCCTGTTTAAGAATAAGACACACATGAGGATAAACGCTATGGCACAGCCCTCTACATCAGCAGCTAACGTAAAGGACTGGTAGCAGAACTAATAAGAGAGCTACAAGTGCATGGGATTTGCTACAGACGTTTAAAACCCTTCAGTCCTTTACTTGGAGCAGGCTTTTCATGAGGACTCAGAAATTAGCACACAATTTCCTTCTTAATTTTCTATGATGATTGTTCAATTCAATACTCTCACACTCCTGTCTATCTGCAGTCACTGTGACTGAATTTTGGGATAGATTTTCAGCTCACGGTTTCAATTAACAAGCAGTTAGCATCACTCAATTAATGCTCACTACATTGTGTCAACATCCACCAGATGAGTAGATGGCTGTCAAACAGTGCAACCTCCTCTATAAAACAAAGAAAGGGAATCACCGAGTGGAAAAGTAATTCAGCAATTTATTGTTTAAATAAAGTAGACAGTTTACAGACCATTTATCATCGGGGGACATTTTGTAAGGAATTTGCATTGTATTGGGTCTGGCTGAGATGGAGTTAATTTCCCCATAGCAGCCTTCATAGTACTGAGTGTTGCAATGGGAGCTACAAAGGTGTTGATAACACCAGTGTTTTGGCTACTGCTTGGCAGCGCTCACAACAGCACCAAGGGTGTCTCCCGAAACCCCACACAAACCCGCCATGCGTGGCTCCCTAGCCACGCCCCCCCCCCCAGGAGGCTCAGGGCCCCAGGGGTGGGCAGGAACTTGGGAGGGGACAGAGCCAGGACAGTTGACCCCAACTGACCAAGGGGATATTCCATACCATATGGCATCAGCTCAGCAATAAAAGCTAAGGCAAGGGGGGAGGAGGAGGACATCAGTCGCTACATTCTCTGGGAACAACCACTACGTGTATTGAAGCCCTACTTCACAGGAAGTAGCTGGACATCACTTCCTGATGGGAAGTAGAGAACAAAAATCTTCATTTTCCTTTTGCTTCTACACGTGTCCTTAGCTTTTGCTGAAGGGGGGGAGTTATTGAGGGGCCTGGTGGGCACCTGGTGTCCAGCCAAGGTTAAACCACCACAGCCATTTACATGCTTTAAAACATTCCTTTAGTTTGAATATACAAGAAGAATTTAAAAAACACTTCAACCACAGACACTCACAAGTTTTCTTCAGCTTCTCTACCTTCTCCCAAACACTCCAAGATACCTTGGATCTGTCACTTAGAACACACTTGAAACACAGTGATGCTATCTTTCTTTGCAAGCTCACAGGGTTTGTTCACATTTCGTTTCTTCAAAATCATTTCTTCCTTTCTCTCCATCAATAAAAGAGCTCTGGAGGCCCTGAGATTCTAAAACATCTTCACATGTGCTTGAGTAATGATTTAAAGCTGTCAGAAGTCCAGCCTTACTTGAGCTCTATGTCACAGGCAGTTTGAACGTAAACTAAAAGGGAGGCCAGAAGAAAACCTTCTTCCTTCCCACTGCAGTAAACAGCCAGATCAAGTAAGTGAACAAAAGCGTTCTATGGAATTGGAAGTGAAAAGTATTACCCTGCCTGTGTTACATATTCCTGGCCTTTC